GACATGGTGCTGTGACTACAGGTCCACTGTGAACGCTGGGCTCTTGCTGACCTGGCTGTGGCCTCACTGCATAGCCTCGCCTGTCTCTCCTGGTGGGCGCTGCTGTAGGGGAGGAACTCCAGGGCTGCGAGAGGGCTATGGTCTCTCTCCTGAGGGGTGGCTTTTGTGAACTGGCCACTGCCACCCACTGGCAGCACTGCTGCCATGACCACGCTGCCTGGCCCTGGCTGCCTCAGGGTGGGTGGTACACACCCAAAAGGGTCAGGAGAGAGACTATCCTCTCCATCCCACAGACCCAAATCAGTCTCCATGTACTTTCACCAGGGAGAGACTTTCTACCTAGCTCAACTTCTTGGGGCCAAAGGAAACAAGTCCAACCCTGCTTCCTCATGACAATAACAGCATTAATAGTATAGGTGGCACACCAAGTCTATTTACCATCCTACCTGCAGCCTCCTCGACCAGAAGCTACAGGACCCACCTTTGGCCCACCTCTAGCCACAGCTGACTGAGGCAGGAGTAGGCGTCTCAGCCAGGACTAGGAAATACATGGCCGACCAGTCAAAGACTAGCCAAGAGACCCAGACTGCCTCTCTGGCAAGATTCCAACAAACGAACACTGAGGGAATGAGATCGCTAGCAATGGGAAAGGAAGCCAGAAACCTGTGAAACGGAGAAGGCCTGTGGGCCAGGTGAGAGCTGAAGGCAGGAGGAAGCAGAGCCTGGGAAGCAGCGGAAGGCAGAGAGCAGAGATGTGGAGGGTGGAGGCTGGGCAGGGTGGTAGAGCGAAAAACACGGAGAGGCCTACAGGGAAACCCCTGCCTCACAGCTGCCCGCCTGGGCCTGCTGGCAGCCACTCTGGCCCCCTACCGGCTGTCCGCCATGCAGCAGCTCAGGGTGTTTACAAAACGTAAATCCAAATATGTAACTCTCCTATTTAAAACCCTCCAGGGGATTCCTTACATTCTGAGGAAAATCAAAACTCCTTCCCATGGGATGCCATGCCATCAGGCCCCTCTGGCCTCTGTGATCCTGTCCCCACCACTGTGTGATCAGTCCCATCCTGTCCCCACCACTGTGTGACTTGGCCCCTCCAGCCTCTGTGACCCCAGCCCCCACCATGTGACCTGGCCCCTCCAGCCTCTGCGACCCTGGCCGCCACCACTCACCCTCTCCACCACTGTGCACTGGCTACACCAACTTCCTTTCAGCCTGTCCCTGCTGTCATTACTCCTGTCTCAGGCCCTCTGCCTGGAAGTCTGTCCCCCCAGATCTTCCCATGGCTGGCTCTGTCTCAGTACTCAGGTTGCAGTGTGCACGCGGCCCCTGAGACAGAGTAACTCTTCCCAACACTGTCTACCTCGGCTTGCTGCTTTATCTCCTTCATAGCACCTGTGTCCAAAATTACCTCAATTATTTGCTTGCTTGCTTCTGATCCTCTGCCTCCTCCTCCTCCCCCACTGTAAAAGTGGGCTCCAGGAGAACAGGGCCTGGCCAGCCTCATGCACTGCTCTGATCCCAGTCCCATGAGTGTCCAAAACTTAGAGGTGTTCAATAGACAGTCACGGAATGAACAGACTGCACGGGTGAATGAACACACCAGAGTGAGGAGCCCAGGGGAGGTCTCCGGGCTGACCACCCTCAGCATCTGCCCCTCCACTGATCACAACCAGGGTCGCTTCCAAGGAGCGACTGCTTCCTCTGTGCCCGGCACTGCTTGGAACACTCTATAAACACTGGCTCATTCTATCCTCATTACCTACGATCATCAACCCCACTATACAGATGAGCAAACAGAGGCACTGAAACATTAAGCAACTTATGCAAGACCATACAACAATAGTAAGTGGTGCAGCCAAGGCTTTGAACCTAGGCTGCTGTGTTCCGGAGTCTGTGCTCTTAACCATTTCTCTGTACTTGTCTGTCTGCTGCCTCCAGATGCCCCTAGCTGAAGCGACGGCCCTGCAGATGGAACACCTGTGACATGTATGGTGTGGCACATTCTTTCCCAGCAGCCCTGGAAGGTTTTATTGACAATGAAACCAAAGATCAGAGAGGTGACAATGCCAAGTGCGGGGCACACCACTAGTAAGCAGTTTGTCTGACACTCCAAAGCCCAATCCCTTCCATTCCCCAAGAGCCACAAACTCAAACGCCCTCACGAGACAGGATGGAAAGGAGCCATGGGAAGCCACCTGGGTGTAAGAGAAGGAGTAGGCCAATTGTGATAATAAACTGCAACTGACACTCGGTCTCAGCACTGGGGCTCAAAAGGGAGTGGTAGGGACTGCGGCAAACAAGAGGGCTGGTGCCCTGCCTAAAGGGGACAGCTGCTAATTGGCTCCCACTGGAGGCTGCCTTGTGGGAGGGCAGCCCAGTGTGGGAGTACAGCTTTCCATGTTTCCAGGGAAGTAGAAATCTAGATTTTTTTAATATAAAATCTTGTGAGAATTTAAATATTGGAAAATAACAAAAAAAAAAAAAAAACTTTTTAAACTGTAAGAGTAAAAAAAATTATCTGGGGCAAATCTGACACACAGGCTTCTAATTTTTAACTTTCGGATGCCACTAGGCCAGTCTTCCCTATGTTTGAAAACAGTTTCTGCATTCTCCTCCCACATTAGGCAGTCCCCATAGCTTCACAGCAGGGTCTTCACAGCAGGAACTGAGCTTTATTCAATTTTTTTTGGTTTTTGTTTTTAATTCCAGAGCCTAGGGCAGTGCCTGACCCACTGTAGATGCCAATGAATGTTAAGTTAATGGATGACTTCTTTCACAAAATGGATTCTAGTCCCCTCACTAGCCATGCCCTGCTTGCCCCATTCTGAACTCGCTCGTTTGTCTGTATCTGCGAAGGGGTGGTCCCCAAAGGACCATATGGGGGTGGAGCACAGTCGCTGTGGTGGGTGCAGTGCGTCGGCCCTCAGCACCCACTCCACTCTCCTTCTGCTGTGCCTTTGTGTTCAAGAGAGGCCGGAAGCCACACACTGCTCTCCCCAGACCCCCTTTCAGCTTGGGCTCTGGATGTGACTTAGGTTCAGTCCATCAGGTGGTCATGCAAGAGGCAGGGAAAGCAGAAGTGAGGTGAGGAGAGGTGGGAGCCACGTGTTGCTGTTTCTGTGGCAAGCACAGCCGTGGAGGCAATGCGTTTTTCAACAATGTCCCACACTGGCTAGACAGGCTATGGACAGGGTCATTGTTTACCATGTGGATCTGGTGGGCACAGAAAGATCCTGAAGCCTACAGTTATGGCAGTGGCTTCCTGTGTCCTGGATCACAGCTAAAGGATCCCCCACCTTCCCGACAGTGTCATGGGGAGCAGCTTTCCTGGTAGGCCAGTGCTAAGATGCTTTCTGGCGCCCACTCCTGGAGCCCCAGCTCAGCCCCCACTCCTCACGCCATCCCAGTGATTTTATAAGCACCTGACTGCCTGTATTAAATTCCTTTCTGCTTAAAATAGCAGTAAGTAGTGGTCTCTATTGCTAAGATTGACTGACCCCTGACTGACAGTGCAGAAGACAATTACAGCCCCCATGGCATCAGGAAGCCAGGGAATTAGCCATGATTAGGCCCCGTGAAGTGCGGGGCCACAGGGCGAGACTGGGAGGGATGCTAATTAATCTTAGGCCACATCTTTTAAGCTGCACAGACTCTAGGGCTAGCCATCAAGTCACAATCTAAGACACAAATATGGCTCCTGAAAACAGAAGGCACTCAAACCACTGGAAGGACTGTCTGAAGTTAGAAGCAGTGAAAGACCTCATTAAGGAGAAATTAACATTCATTGCTGGGGACAAAGGGAAGCCTCCAGGCTGTCTGCCCTGCAGACCTGGCTCATTAGCCCCAGAGGAGGTGGCAGGAGTTAGCTGGCAGGACAAGCTTCCCCATTTCATCACAGACCTGCAAATGCTGCCCCAGTGGGACGTGGAAAGACCACTGGGCTTGGACTCACACGTCCAGGGTACAGATCCCACCTACTCCCTCCCTCCAGGCCCTTAGTAGCTACGTGACACTGAGCAAGTTGCCTTACCTCTCTGGGTCTCATTTCTTCAGCAATACAATGAGGACGCTTACAGACCTACAGGGTGATTATAAAGCTGGACAGACAAAGCGTATGAAAGCGTCTACACAGACCCCTATGTTTGATAATGGGTAAAGTGTTATCAGGGAGCGGTTTCCAACCCTGGTGAACACAAGGGCTTAAACCTCACCTTGCGCCAATTATGGCAGAATCTCTGGGGGTGGGACCTGAGCACCCAGATTTTTAAAACCTCCCAGGTGATTCCAATGTGCAGTGGGGTTGAGATCCACTGGTCCGAGGTGAGGTCTGAGTGCGAGGCAAGGTGTATGTGGGCAAGAACACTGAACTTGAAGTAAAACACCTGGCTTGAGTCTTGGTTCTGCCACTTCTTAGCTCTTGACGTTGGAAAAGTCATTTGATTTTTCTGGGCATCTGTCTCCTCAACCCCTTAAAGGAAAGACAACGCCGGCATCTGTCCTATGGGGCTGCTGTGAGGGCAAAGGCCAGGAGTCACGTGAGAGCTCAGCCCACGCCTGGCCCCTGGTAGGTACTCAAAAATGTAAGCTGCCCACCTCAGCAGCAGCAGCAGCTCTCTGGGGCAGGGCTTTGTCTTAGAGACCACTGCATCCCTGGCATCTAAGACTCTGCTGGGCACACAGTAGGTGCTCAATTAAAAAAAGTCACTGTATGCCTGAGTCATCATGACAGGGCTATGAGTCTGGCCTTGTTCCACTCCCGAGTGGGCTGGGGCAGCCACCATCCAGAGGGAGGGCCATGTAGCAGGGAGGGCTGGTGGGTGAGGGGTCCTCAGCTCTCCAGAGGCCCGCTCCACACGCAGAGAGGGCGCCACTGAAGTGCCCAGCCAGATCCACCTGCTGCCTGTGGGGATTTTAAATGCGCTCATTATGTTTCTATCACACTGCTTGGTCTACAGCATGAGCTGGGACCACAGGCTTGACCCCGCCCTGGGTTTCCAGACCTGGTGCCATCCTCGGCGCTGGACTTTGCTGGGGGCTGTCCGGGAGCCGCGTCTTAAGGCTTCTTCAGCTTCTCTAAACAGGGCTCTTCGTCTGTAATCTACACCTGAGATGAGGGAAGGAGAGTTGGTGAGGCAACGGAGACAAGCTCGCAGTGATGGAGAGTTTCCTAAGTACATCTAAAACGCATGTCAGTGAGCCCAGAGGCTGTGTGCATGAGCACGCTCACTGCAGCACTGGTTGCAACAGCAAAACATTAGAAAACAAGCTAAATGCCCAGTAGAAAAGGGGATGGCTTAATAGTGACAGGACATCCATGCCATGGAATAAGATGTATAATGATGTATGGCCAAATTAGGCAGATCTGTATATACAAGGAACAATCTCCAAGATACAGAAGGTATAAAACAGTGTGCAGAAAAGACCAGCATTTGTGTAAGAAGCGGGGGGTAGATATATTTGTTGAATGACTGAATGAATGTACTGATGGGGCCCAGGTACAAAGAACAAGAAAAGGCCTGATTCTCCTAACCAGTAGCAGATATGCCTGTCTTCCTCCACTAGAAAAGCTAGGGGAGCCCTCCGGTTTCCCTCTTTGCCCTGGGGACTAGGAAGCTCACGCTAAATTCCAAGCTTAACTTGCAGTGGCTCTCCTAAGGGAAGGCTTTGGGATACCACTTTCTTCTTTTACCTCCTTGTTGTTGTTAGTTTGTTTTTGTCTTTTACTACTTGTGGATCTTTTACTATGCTTGGGGTCTTAGCGTACTCATGAGGCAATGAATTAGAACAACACAAATCAAGATTGTTGCGTGCCAGGCACTTTACATTTCTTATGTCATTCAGGCTTCCTGGGAGCCTGCAAGGCAGGCATAATTATGCCCATTTTATAGAAGAGGAAACTGAGGGTAAGAAAAGTCCCAACTGCCTGAGGTCTCAAAGTAGAAAGTGATGGAACAGGGTTCGAACCCAGCTCTGCCTCATGCTAAATCCCCTCCTTCTCTGTAGCACGCTGGCCTCTCAAGTGACTTCCCCACAGTAACATGTCCAAATTGGAACCTGACTCCATATGCCCTGCCATTCAACCACTAACCACTTTTGTTGCCTACAGTGGCCCAGACACTGGGCTGGGTGCTTTTCTATTATACTTCGCCAGCGTTCTGCGCTTTTATTATAGATCACAGAAATCCGTTGAAGTACACATGGTGTGGATTAACTAAATGAAAAAATGAGCATGAAGCCACCTGTCACACTGGGGTTAGGTACTGAAGTTAACCAACACATATAAAGTGAAAATCAGGTATCATCCAAATTACCCTAGGAAATACCTTAAATTACTGGCACTTGAGATCTAGGAAACATGAAAGCCAGGAATTTAGTGCTCTGGCCTTCTTTGCCCTGGGATAGTGGAGGCCAAGACTAGTTTGAAAAAGAATTTAAAAAAAGGACCTTTCTCTCTCTTTCTCACACTCATGCTGTCTGTCCTTCTGGCCAAGCAGGTGTTGCTGTTCTCAGCTGTACAACAAGATCAGACCGTTCTGATTCATAAGGTTTTCACTGGCTGGTTTTTGGAAGTAGATTGCCAGGCCTTTCTTCCTAGTCTGTCTTAGTCTGGAAGCTCTGCTGAAACCTGTTCAGCATCCTAGCAACACTCAAGTCTATAGTTAACTTGTCTACGTTAACAAGTTATCTGCTGGAAAGCGCCAACGCGTGGGGTGTGGCTCTGCACCCTGAATCAACTGACAGTACTGTTGCTCGGCCTGGACAGGCCTGCGCTCGCTCACCGTGTGTCCCCTCGGTGTGCGAGGCACTTCTGGAGAAGTCAGAGTGGATGGCTTTGCGTGGCCACGTCTTCAGCTCAGAATTGGCCCCATTGACGTAGACAGAGAACCCTTGCTCCAAGTGTTCCAGCCTCAACTGCACAGGGTCCTTGGTTTTCAAATGCTTTAATATCCTGGAAGAGAAAGGATCGCTTGCCCCTCATCATAGAAGAGTCTGGGCCACCCCCCAGCACGGAGCGAACTGCTGCCCTGATGGCGAAGCGTCTCTAATCAGTGGCAGGGTGGCATGGGCCCAGCTGTTTGTCTACAAACAGCCTCTACAAGGCCCATTACACACATGGTGAAGCAGCAGTGAGGGGAAGGGAGGCTGCTGCGGGCCCTGTGGGGCGTTCCCCCTCTGGGGCTGAGGCTGGAAGCCACATTAGCAAACACGAACACACACTATCTTGCCCTGTCGAGGCACGTGTGTACACAGCTGCCACACAGCCTGGATCTTCTGAGATGATCCCAGTCTCCTGTGATTTCACTCTGTGCGGATAGTGGCACTTTATTCAATATGTAACAAAATGTGGTTTAGGGTCTAAGCCTTCATGAGAGAGATTTCATGTAACACATCTACAAATCAGAAAACACCTTTCGGTAGACCGCACCGACTGATTTTTGCTTCAGAAAATACGTGTGTGTGTGTCCTCGAACACTCACCCTTTATATCTCAAATGCCACAATTTCTTATTCTGATGCAGTTAAAAAAGACAGCAATGCAGACCTTTGTTTAAGATGAAGGATGTGACCATCCTAGCACCCTTGGGCTAAAAGGGTCTTGGCATGAGCACGGCCTGGCCTCTAGTTCAGCTTTCACAAAAGCCTCACCTCACACCTCAGGCTTGGCTTTTACCCACTCCTGACACGGTAAGCCATGCACAGTGCCCCAGTGTCCTCTCCAGCCTGCTCCAGAACCACCTCCACTTGACGCCAAACTCCTCAGTATCTTGCAAACACCTCTATGTGCCCCCACATCAACCGGATTTATCACCACGTGAGAAGAATACAGACAACCAGCCAACATGGTAACACGTGTACATTCTCTGTGGTGATTAAATACCAGTCAAATTAGCAAAATGTAAAGTTTTTAAAATTAAAAAAAAAATAGTTATTACATAAAAGATGTACACTATGTGACAAGCTCTGTTCTAAATACTTTACATATATTAAGACAGCAATCTTCACAACAACCCCATGGGGTAATTATGTTTATTATTCCCATTTGATGAGGAAACTAAGGCACAGAGAGGTTAAGTGACTTGTGGCAGGACTGGGATGCAAACTGAGGCAATTTGGCTCCAGAGTCTTCACCACAACACAAGGAATACAACTTGTAAAACTAGAAAGATGATGTTGAAACTGGCAAACTCAGACACTGCTAGTAAACTCACAGAGCCTTCTCGGAAGGAATATGAAAATAAAGAAAACGTCACGTTTAGTCTTTGCCCAGTAAACATATTCCAGCAAATTGTTGCTGAGCAGAAACTCTGGGCAAGAAGATGTTCAGTGTTTAGTCATGACAAAACCTTGAAAGCAACTGTTACGGACTGAATTGTGTCCCCCAAAAATGTGTATCAATTTGGCTAGGCCGTGATTCCCTGTGCTGTGTGGTTGTCCACCATTTTGTGATCTGATGTGATCATCGTATGCATTGTAAATCCTAACCTCATGTTAACGAGGCAGGATTAGAGGTAGTTATGTTAATGAGGCAGGACTCTATCTACAGGATTAGGTTGTATGTTGAGTCAACCTCTTCAGATATAAAAGAGAACTGAGCAGAGAAGGAAGGAACCTCGTACCACAAAGAAAGAAGTACTGGGAGGGGAGTGCATCTTTTAGACCTGGGGTCCCTGTGCTGAGAAGCTCCTAGACCAGGGGAAGACTGATGCCAAGACCTTCCCCCAGAGCCAACAGAGAGAGAAAGCCTTCCCCTGGAGCTGGGACCCTGAATTTGGACTTCCAGACTCCTAGACTGTGAAAGAATAAACTTCTGTTTGTTAAAGCCATCCACTGGTGGTATTTCTGTTATAGCAGCACTAGATGACTAAGATAGCAACTGAAATGTCCAACACTAGGGAAGCGGAAGCTGGAATATTATGCAGCCGCTATAATTGTGAAGACTCTCAAAACACGAAGGGAGAAAGGTAAAGTAGAATAAAAACAGTACATACATGGTCAGTGCAAAGCTGGAAGAAAGTATTTGTTTGTGGACCCAGAGTGGACAGTGATAAATGTAAAAATTAAGCCAGTTGTTGAATTAGGGTGGTGGCATTGTGGGCCATTTCTCTGTTTTTTAATGTTTTAGCTGCTGATACATCCATCTTTTCAACAGCTGTGGCAGGAACATTTATTACAGACTGCTTATCTCTTGCCAGCCTCTGAAGCCTGAGAGATACCTGATCGTTGGGCAACAGCATAAAACAAAGGAAAACACAAGTAACTAAGCGACAGTCTCCAAACACAGCAATAGCTGTGCTGCCAAAGCAAACAATCAAGAATGCTATGGGCACCAGCAGCCTCCAGAGAGGGAGTGGGGGGACCAGGCCATGGGAGGGCCGTGTAGCAGAGCAGGTCAGGAATCTCATCTCCCAGGCAGAGCACCTGCCTCAACTTCCCTCCTGGAGACCACCCTGTGTCCTGATGCTACATTCATCTGGAACCTGGGGCTGGCACTCCATGCGGACCTCTCTTTAAGCAGAATGATTTATGAAAATGTGGATTTATAGAACTGATAAATGAGGAGATAATTATTCAGACTGTGAAAGGCGTCGCTAAAGGAGTGCCCTACTGCAGCTGAGCGTGCACTGGTAATATTCATGTTTTTTCTCAATTGATAGTCTACTTTGCATAAAAAGCCACACTCTATTCTCTTGCCCTGTTTTATTTTTCCATAGCGTACTTATCACCACCTGATACCGGATTATGGATTTATCTGTGTATTTGTCTCGTCTCCCTCCCTGGAATCTAAGCTCAGTGCAAGGAACTGTGTGGAGGGCTCTCCATCCCCATTCTTGAACAAGTGGCCTCAAGGACCTTGAGGCCTCACAGGGGAGGGAGGGCATGGATGGGAATCCTAACACTCATAACAACTGCTCATGTGATGCGCATCCAGAGCTTCCAACTGGCTCATTTGGGTTGGAAACCCTGCTGAGAATTTGCATTTCTAACACAAGTTCCCAGACGATGCTAACGCTTCTGGTTAGGGACCAATTCTGAGAACACTGGTAGTAGAGGAGTGGTTCTCAAAATTTATTACATGTAAGAAGTACCTGAGGATCTTGTTAAAATGTAGATTCTGATTCAGTATATCTGGCGTGGAAATGCAAATTCTCAGCAGGGGTTCTAACTGGTTTGAAGTCCTGTGCCCATCACATGCATTGCTTCCATTTTGTCCCTGCAGTGACCTTTGGGGGGAAACACTGAATAGCTTTTGTGCACAGATGAGGACATGGAGGCACAGTGAGGCTCAGGGTACAGAGTGTCATAAGGGTGTGTGACGGGGACACAACACAGCTGCACGCTGAGGTGGTCGGGATGATGCTCCTCTCGGGGGGAGGACTTAGCTGAGCACAAGGGGTAGGTGTGTGGGTTGCTTACGGGACGTTGGCCTAATTGTGACTGGGTTTATGACTGGCTGATCACTGGTTTCTGTGGTTGCAGCTGTGTGATTGTGGGCCAGCCATATGGCTCCTCTAAACCTCAGTTTCCCCAAGTGTCAACTGAGGGGTTCTCTAAGGGTCAGGCATTTAGGGATTATCTGGATGTTAGCTCAGGGAGAAAGCATTTTTAATATTAAAATGATGAGGAGGAGGAGCAGGAGAAAAGCTGACTTGGGTGATGGGCTTACTGTGGGCCTTCAGGTACCTCATCTCACCTAATCCTTCAGCAGCCTCGGCGTTAGGTCCACCATCGGCCCATGTTATACATGAACTTGCCCAAGGTCAGAAAGCCAAGGACACAGCCGAGCCAGGATTTAAATTCCAGTTCATGGGGCTCCAGAGCCTGTGCTCTCACCCACTCCTCCCTGCTGTCTCCCACGTCTAACACCAGACATCACAAAACAGGGCCTCTGAGCAAGGAGAGTCCAGAGGAGGGAGCAATCGCTCCCAGCTGGAGGCTTCCTGGAGGTGGTGGTGTTTGAGCCCAGCCTTGAAGGATAGAGGGGTGGTGGGCAGTGGTCGACACAGGGCAGCCCATGGGGCCGGGTATTTGTCCTCCAGGGTATCACCTCAGCAGAGCAGAGATCTCAACTCCCACCCATGTGTGTCGAGGGGGCGGTATATGGAGGATGCAGCTCAGTTCCTCAGGCTCTGCCATTCTCCCAGCTTGCATGACCTTGGCAAGTCACCACACCTCCCGGGGCCTGTTTCCTCTTCTGTCAAAAAGAGTAAGGATGCCCACACCTCAGGGGGTTGTTGTGAGGATGACCCATGGTTAAAGCGAACTCTGAGCTGGGTTAAAGCTCCTGCTAGACTGGCTTGTATAAGGCCCCCAGTGGATGCCAGTTCTCTCCTCCCTTCTGTCAGCCTGAATCTCCTTGTGGAGCACTGGGTTCACTCTTTCATGGGCATGTTTTCCTCAAATGACCTTTTTCAAGGAACAAATGATAATACCGTCACTGAATTCTTAGTGAACAAATCTGTGTTCACCCTCCACAGTTCAATTCTCTGCCGTCATCTCCTCAGATACAAGGGCCCTAATCTTTTCAGTCGCTCCTCACATCTCAGCCCTTTGATCACTCTGGTTGCTGTCTGGTGAGCCTTGTTGGGTGTGATTTCATCTTTCATGATGATGAGTGACCAGAATCACCAAGAGTCTGCTGGGCGTGGCAGCATTGTGTGCTTGTGCAGTGATGAAATCGGGCTGCCAGACTTCCAGAGTCTCCTCCCTCTCCCCGACCCCTTCTCCTGGAGAACGTGATCACTTTTTACCTTCTGACATAGTTACAGGTGGCTCTGAGCTCACCCCGTCACTAGCCAAGGAGTTCCTCAAGGGCAAGGGCTGTGTGGTGGATACTCGTTCTTTCTGCCTGCCCAGCAGCACTCCCTCATCTTCCAAAAATATTCCCTCAAATTTCCTTTCGGGACCTGTTCCACTCTTTCTCTTACTCCATGTGGTTTGGGTAGAACTGACTCTGTCTCTCAACTTCAGGGGTGGCAAGGGGTGGTCAGTCAGATGATGCCACTTCACCACACACGGTGATTGACTGGCTCACGGATGGGAATGGGACCCAAGCCAAGCCAATGGCAACCCTCCTCAGCATGTTTGCTAGGCTATTAGGAAAGAAGTGCTCTCTTTCCTTTGGGGTAGGATGTAATTGTGGGGCTTCCAGTAGCTGACTTCGCCACCATGAAGGAAGTACCTGTCTGAGAATAAATTTAACATGGGAAAACAGAGCTGAGAAATGGAGAATAGCTGATTTTGGTGGCATGTCACCTAGATCCAGCTATGCCTGAAGCCAGTGCCACACCCTGGATTTCTTAATTACATGAGTCAATAAGTTTTCTTGTTAAGTTCCTGGACTTCTGTCTCTTATAAAAAATGAGTACTAAGTATATAGCCTGTCTTCCTTATCTTGATGTTCCTCTTTGCATTAGTGTAATGCCAGCTACTTAGAAGGTACTCAGTGAAATCCAGCTAAACGAAAGAATAAAGTCACTCAGCATCTTTTGGGCAGCTATGTTCTGGACAGACCTCACTCAATGATGGCACAGCCCTGTCCTGGGTTTTCATCTCTCGTGGTGCACAGTGTAAAGTTCAGAAGTTGGTTATCTACCTAGTCATGCAACTAGGTTTCCAAGTAAACTAGTTTATTCCCACAAAACCCCTCTCTAGCGAACTTAAGGCCATTGACAACCCTGGCATGTTTTCTGTTCTCTTGACAATTTATGACAATGCCATATAAAAAGTAAATAAGAAAGTGCAGCCCAGCTCTACCACTTCCTTGCTGCATGAACTTATGCAAACTGTTCACCTTTTGGAATCCCTGGGTGATGCAAACGGTTAAGCGCTCAACTACTAGCTGAAAGGTTGGCAGTTGAAACCCATCCAGAGGTGCATCAGAAGACAGGCCTGGCAATCTGCTTCTGAAAGGTGACAGTCTTGAAAACCCTAAGGAGCACAGTTCTACTCTGCACACATGGGGTCTCCATGAGTCAGAATCAACTCGACAGCACCTAACAACTAGGTCAGAGGTTCTCCACTAGTGGTGGTACACTTCCCTAGTGGGTTCTGGAAATGTAGATGGGTGTTGTTGTTGTCATAGAGACTGGGCAGTCATAGTGGAATTTAGAAAGGTGGGTGGTGGGCAGGGATACTAAACTCCTACCACTGGGTCTCTGCTTTCTTGTCTGTAAAATGGCTGTAAAACTCTATCAGCCTCACTGGGTAGCGTGCAGATCAAATGAAATGATGGGGCGAAGCGCTGGCGGCAGGCACTCCGGAAAAAGTGCCTTTAAGCTTGGCGCGATGATGGCTCAGAAGCACTCCCACTCTTGATAGGTCTCTATTCCAAAGTATTTCTTTTCAGTTCTGCCTTCTAATTTCCTGTGATCAAGCCAGCTCTCTCTGGGTGACAACGTTTCCTCCCAAATTTTATGGCAACTCATAAATGATATATATTTTTAATTGCCTTTGTGCTGGGACCTTGTCTCTGGAGACTCTCGTATATGCTCTTGGCTGGTACCCCTTTGATCGCACACTTATTGATCCCCCAATTAATGAGAGCAATTTGCTCATAAAGAACTATGACACTCTCCTCCCAGACAAATCACATATAAATGGTTAAACCATCACCCAGGTGTTCAGTGGCATCATCCAGCTGGCCAAAGACTGAATAAAAACATCCTGCTCCGTGGCATTAATGATGATAAAAACCCAGGTTGGTCGAATCAGCACATGCATTCTGCTCTTAGTTTGGGGTCGTCCCTGGGATGATGGGAGATAAGCATGGAGCAGCTGGGTGTAGAGGACATCACCATGGCATTTCTGGCTGGTCCTGGCGAATATATCTAGTTTAGAGGTTCTCCACTGGGGGTGGTACCATCTCCCTAGCGGGTGTTGCTGTTGTCACAGAGACTGGGGAGTCACAGTGGAATTAAGCAAGGGGGGTGGTGGGCACGGATACAAAACTCCTACAATGCATGGGGCTATCCTGCACCATGAAAACTCATCCCAAGCAATGTGCCACTGGTGTCCCTGTTGATCAACACCAGATTCTCTTGCCTGGAAGACTTCAAGTCCACTCCCATACCACAAAGGCAAGGCCCAAATTAGCACTCCCCTTCCCAACCCTTCCCGCAGACCTGTTTTGTGGGATCTGCAGCATTCTTATGTTTGTTTTGTGTTTTAATTTGAACTCATTACCAACATTTTAAAGCTTGAGAGCTATCACAACACAAATCCAGATCATCAGCGTCTCTGGAAAACATGGAAGATCTGGACCCGCGTTACCATACAACACCCGCTGGATGTGAGAGCTCTGGGTGCCCACTGTCCTCACTCAGCTGCCTTCACTCACATTTCATACCTGCCTGGCCCCTCCTAGCATCTGAATTTGCAAACCCAGCTCGGTGCAAAGCTTTAGCTGAAGAAAACTCACAGTGAACTGACAATGAACTTCCTCAGTCTTCCAAAGGCATCTGAGGAGATGAAGCCTCCTTCAAACCAGGGCATGCTGCCTTCACCTTGAACACTGCATGTACTGCAGGCTTTTTCAAGAACCAGCAGTCCAGAGTCAAAACCCATCCTAACTAATGGTAAAAGAAGTATCGATCAACCACAAACATGAATGTAAAATGATTCCACCGTCACATAACAAGGCATGATGACAGGCTCAGATTTCAAAGCCTGCAAGATCACAGACTGGGCTATTCAGGTGACTAATGCACAGGCTCTGCCAAATTCTAGCTTTTCATGACAATCCCACCTTCTCCTGGAACAGAAGCAGGAGGCAAGAGGTGGCACTTACATGCCGAACAGCTTGCTACAGCTCAATCAAAAGAAGCAATTAAATCAGTGAATGGGGAAACAGGAGCTGGGATTACAGGTGATATTCTAAGCCTCCGAGTGGAGGGTGTCTCTGTGTACCGTTCCTTTCTGAAACAGGGCCTCTGTACTGTTAGTAAATCTAAATAGGATTTTTATTTGGCTAATATTAAGGGCTACCGTCGAGCAGTTTCATCTTACCGGTTCCTCTGCTGAAGCAATATTAAATACTCATCATGTTTCTCATCAAAGTCTGTCACCATGTCCTTAGTGTAACCCTGAAACGAAGAAACAGAGCAGTGTGATATTGGAATACAGGGAAGCTCTGACTGAGAGCCGGGGCGCCGCACACCCTGCGCAGGAGGCCGAGGGGCGGAGGCCGACCTTGATGAAAGCCCAGCTCCCTGGGCGCATCACTTGGCGACTCAGAACCCCAGAGACTGCCTGCCTGATGGCCCAGTGGGTCTTGTACACACACAACTGCCATTGTTCATTCCTCCTGTGCCCTCTCTATAAAATCAAGGGCTCTCGCAAGATTGAGGCTCTACTGTTTCCCCACCACTCGTTAATTATTATCTCAACTATCATAACTAAATGCAATCCAAGTCAGTTGTTTAAAAGGGGATCTCAGTTTTTCCTTGCCATTACAAGAAAAACACATGCTTCTTGTTAAAAAAAAAAAAAAGAAAAAAAAAACCCGTTGCCATTGAGTCTATTCCTACTCATAGTGACCCTACAGGACAGAGTAGAACTGCCCCATAGGGTTTCCAAGGAGCAGCTGGTAGATTCGAACTAACGACCTTTTGGTTAGCAGCCGAGCTCTTTAAGTACCGTGCCACCAGGGCCTACGCTTCTTGTACACAACTCAACTATTACAGAAGTACATGACCCAGTGAGTGAAGGCCCCTTTGGAGTGGGCATTTGTTGTTTTGAGCCTCTTCTGGCAACAAGATTCTGGACTTCCTTTGGGAAATCATTCGACCCCTTCAATTGCCTTTCTTAGATGGCCTTGAAAATTCCCCTGCTCTCCTTTTGGGTCACTGACTTGGTCTTGCCAATCAACATTGTGCTTCCCCCATCCATAGCGATTCACTGACCCAAGCTGAGTCCCTGAACATCAGCTGCGGAACTTTTGCTGATACTCTTGGGAAAGAGCTGATGAGATGCAGGCCTAGAACTGCCTGAAAATGAAACCAGTAGAGAAAAGAGCAGATCCAAGAGATAGATTGCTAATGATATAATTTGAGCCCCTGGATCCAGACATGCCTGAAGACGTTATTCAGTTATTGCTTTAGAAGTTTCAGTTGAGTTCATGTCATTTGCAGTCAAAAGCATTAAAAGTAATAGGCTACAATCCCACAATCAGAGATAACTCTTATTATAATTTTTTACAGGCTTATGGAGGTATGATTAACGTATAATAAACTACAGATATTTAATGTAACATGTGTACACCAGTAAAATCCCTATTATTATTTGATATATATTCCTCTGGATTTTCTTTTTGTTCATAATATACATATTTATAAACACACATATAAACACACACATATTATTTTAAACAAAAACGGGTTCATACTGTAAACAATGCTTTGCAATTTACTATGTTTCCTAAATAACTTTTTGCCAAGGAATGGTTTACAGCTACCATATAAACTTGGTACTAGTCACAAGTTACAGCAAGTTATAGAAATTCAGTTTCAAATGGAAAGTAGGATGTATACAACAGAAATGCAATTTGCATGAAAATCCCAATGATCATCATGTTGTTGTTGTCAGGTGCCATCGAGTCAGTTTCGACTCACAGTGACCCTGTGTACAACAGAACGAAACACTGCCTGGTCCTGCACCACCCTCACACGTGTTGCTATGCTTGAGCCCATTGTTGCAGCCGCTATGAATCCACCTCATTGAGGGTCTTCCTCTTTTTCACTGACCCTCTACTTTCCTAAGCATGATGTCCTTCTCCAGGCACTGGTCCCTCCTGGTAACATGTCCAAAGTAAGAGAACATGTTAACTCTTCAAAATCTGGCTTTAACTCTACCAGTACCCTACCCAAGGGTGACCCATAACCTCTTCTCGTCAGCATCCTTTTCAACTGCTCTGGGCCATGGGGAACTGCTGACCACCCAGTCCTCCAAATTCTCTTCCTTTGGCTTCTGTGGCACTGAATGAATCTCTGCCCTCGCAGCCCGCTGCCTGCTCAGTCTCTGGCTTGCCTTCCTCCTTTGCCCTCAGTTTTGGGTAGTCAGTCTCTCTCTACCTATCTTTCTCTCTCTCTCCCCCTCCCTCTCTGTGTTCACTTCTCTTTCTAGTTGCGAGGAAACAGGGCCCTCTGAGTGGGAAGCCCAGAGAGTCACTCCTGGTCCAGAGCTGACGGCCCAATACCTCTTTCTTTTCCTTTTCCTGCAGGACCCAGGTTGCTGCCATCTGCTCACCTCTGTCCCTGCCACCCTACTTTTCCTTCCAGAATCCCCCTCTCCCTAGGCCCACTTGGAAACAGGATGCAGGACCCTATCTCTCTCCTCCTGATATCTCTGAAACAAGTACACAAAACTTCTGAGTTTTACTGGGGCTTTCCCACTGGCTAATCTGGCCAAGCAAGGAAGTGAGCAATAATAAACAAGGTTGGTGTTATGAAATTATGAGGAAAAAACAGCAAAGCTAGCAATAGCTTTTCCTGTTCTCTAGCACCTCATTTTCCTGGCTTCCTGAGATGCCCAAGGAGGTGACTTTGTCCTCCCCCAGGACTGGGCCTGCCTCATCCCGAGCGCGACATGAAGCACTTGAGACCTCAGCCCTCAGGAGAGCTGGCTTGCAAGGTGCCGGGTCTGGGGAGGATCTTGGTTCTTTCCAGAATAACAACATGTGTATCGTGCAGACAGTTTGCACAGCATTTTCATATACATGATTCTCTTTGATCTTCGCAGCAGTCCTTGAAGTGGTTATTATTACCCATTTAAGATACACGGAAACCCATTCCACGTACCTGGCTGGAACATGACTCCTTCTCCACGGTAATTTACATAACCATTTTGAAATATTAAAATGACCATTGATATATTACGGTATGGAATGAAACATTCAATGACACTTTTAGATGAAACATGAGACTTCAAAGGCATCTCAGCTTGCGGTGGGCTGCCCTGGCCTTTCACCTCGAACTTTCTGGGAATGCATTTATTCTCCTCTGCTACGAGGGAGACGACATCAGAAAAACTTGAAGAGCACAGATATATCTCCAGTGGAACTTCTTAGCCAGCTTTCCTAGCCACCCATTATCAGGCACCTGCCCTGTGTTTCTCAAATGCTAATACGCACACAAATCCCCTGGAGACTTTGTTGCCATGCGGATTCTGGTTCAGGATTCTGGTTCAGACCGGGGAGGGCCCGAGAGTCTGCCAAGCTCCCAGGCACTGCCCATGGACCACTCTTGAGTAGCAATGCCCTCCCACCTCCACCTCCCACCTCTCTGCATTTGGGCTGGAAAGAACATAAGCTTTGGAGTCCAGTCCTGGGTTCAAGTTTCTTCATTTGTAAAATGGGGATGATAATAGCAACAGACGGGATGCCACAACATGTGCAAAGGACTTAGCACTGTACCTGGAATTTACAAAGCTCCCACTGACCGGCAGTTATATATCAGTTATATAAATAACTCCATTATTTAAATGGCACTATCCCAGTCTTGCCCCCCTCCCCGCAGTATGCTCAGGACTACCCTGATACTTTAAAGCATTGTATTCTACTTCCAGAAATCCACCATCCCCACTCCAGCCTCCACTCAAATCCTCTCCAAGGCCCAACTCAATTCACGACATCTCCATGAAGCCTTCCCTTGCCATTCTTGTCCCCACTCACATCAGTTCATTCTGAAACCCTGCAATTAGTATTAAATTATATACAATACAGTACAAAATAGTATATAATTAAGTGCTAAGTTGTTAGCATTTAACTAAATACATTGCTCACTAATTATCTGGGAATTTGGAGACCTGCGGGTGAACCCAGAATTCTGCCACTTACTTTCTCTGGGCCTCAGTTTCCTGGTCTGTAAAAAGGGAGCATTAATAATGCCTACTTCATAGGGCTGCTATAAGGATTAACTAGGATAAAAGTAAAAGTGAATTAGGATCCTTTTCTTTCTTGTTCTTATTGGTTCCCAGCCATATTATAATTTGCTGTCGGCAAAAACCAATATCTTGGGCAACACTAGGAAGCAGAAGGAACATCACAAGGGGAGCTGGCAGTCCTGGGCTCCAGTCTTGGCTTCCCGACTGCCTAGTGTTACGATGATAATTGCTAAGGTTGAATAAACACTTAGCATCCGGAAACCCTGGTGGCGAAGTGGTTAAAAGCTACAGCTGCTAACTATAAAGGTTTAGCAGTTCAAATCCACCAGGTGCTCCTTGGAAACTCTATGGGGCAGTTCTACCCTGTCCTACAGGGTTGCTATGAGTCGGAATTGACTCGACAGCAACGGGTTTATCAGGTACTATTTTAACCCCTAACTCGGTGTTAACCCTCACCATGACCTTGGGTAGCCACCAGACATGCCTCTCCCCGGCACAGCACACTTCTTTTTGAGGGGGCTTTATTTTCTTGACTATAAAATGAGAGTATTAATACTTTTAAGGTACCCTACAAAGGTGTGAGAACTTTGTAAAACACCCAGTTTATCAGTCATTGCTTTCTCAATAATTTACCAAGTGCTTACTATGGGCCCTTTTACCTACGCAATCAGGGCTCAGCAAAGGCTCTGGCGCTGTGTATTTTCAGGTACCCAGAGGCTCCAGTAAGCTGTACGCACCAGTCAGTCAGGGGCGGCACTGCAGGACCCCGAGCCACCATTCATGCTTGTTCCTGTGAATGGGGCCCCCTGCCGTTATGCAACAGCAGGCTGGAACTGCAGCCAGTCAAGCAACCCAGGCCATGGACTCCACCCACTGACCAAGGGTCCCTAAGCGTAGGGCCCAGGATGCCTAGGACAGCCAGGGATGGCCTGCAGGCGGTTCTGAGAACATCATTAAACTGAATGCAAAATTGTGTGTATGAACAAGAGTATTTCTCCGGGGAGAGAGTCCATAGCTTCCATCAGAACACCAAAGGTGTCTGGGACCCAAAAAGAAACAAAAACTAAACCCGTTGCCGTCGAGCCCATTCTGATTCATAGCGACCCTATAGGACGGCGTAGAACAGCCCCATAGGGTTTCCAAGGAGCAGCTCCAAAAAAGAGACAGATGATGAAAACAAAGCGTGGGGGATTCAGTGTCAGGG